GGCAGCAAGCCCAGGAGCACGGTGGAAAAGCAGAAGACGCTTCAGGTGCTGCCAGAGTGCGGAGGTTACCTCAAACCAGCACATACTCCGAAGGAGTAACCGTGATAAGGAAAGCTTCCTAGAAATGCACGCCAAGACGGAGGGAGATATGTCTTCAAGGAGATCCATGGCAATTACAGTTCCGTTGGTAGCAAAGTGGGGAGGAGGAACCTTCCATCAGGGGAAAATGCTTCAGAATACTTGCATCGGACCCAAGGGGAGAGTATGACTAGTGTTGTGTTCCTAACTGTCGGCTTTCGACCGAGTTTCTATCTAGAGCTTGAGGACGATGCAGGATGTAGTGCAGGATCCATGCACTACAGGCTACTGGGACTTTAGACCCTGTTCTTTCAAGGCACACATGCTCTGTGGGCCACAGCAGAAGGACATGATTCGGGAACCTCCGTGAATGAGGTTCTCAAACACACCTGTAACCCTTGGACTAAAGACTCCTTTGGTTTCTTAACTGTTATTTCCATGAATATTGATTGTAGATCCAAGTAAAATGAAATCCTTCACAGCACCAATATTTCTCCAACGATCATGAAGTTGTCCACTGGTCCAGTTATGAGGATTTCCGTTTTCTTTATGTTAATTCCCTAATGAGTTTCTTTATGTTCATTCCCTACTGAAGGCTGTTGCCTTTGATCTTCATCAGTAAGTTCTTCAAGTCTTTCATCAAACAAAATTGTGTGAGCTCCCTACCACAGGTTGTTAAGGTGCATTCCTCCAACCCTGATGCTCCAGGCCTATCTGTTCCTCTTCACATAGTCCACTATCTTGGATTATTCACTCAGTTTATAGTTAGAGTAAGTATGGGGAAAGGATACAGCCATGACCACACCTTTCCTAATTTTAAACTATGTATCATCCATTTGTTCAAGCCAAACTCTCCCTCTGCTCCATGCATAGGCTCTGCATGAGCACTATGAGGTTTTCTGGAATTCTTTCTTTACAAGGTAATCCACAATTTGTTATAATCCATCCATAAGAATGAAATACAGTTAAATGTATTTCTGCTATTTCTGCTGTTAGCCAAGATACATTTGATATCAGCAATGATATTGTTGTTCCATGGCCTCTACTAAACCTGGCTTGAATTATAACAAGCCTTTTGATGCCCTGCTGAAACATTTTTTAATTCTCTTCAGTCAAACTCTAAATCCCAATATTACATTGCTATCAAGTTGATGCCAAAACAAGTTTGAAAGCAAATTGATTTCAAACTCGAACTACTGCCACCAACTATGACGTATAGTTAACCTTTAGGACGCGGCGTCCGAAGCCTGTACCTCTTTACAGGAGTAGACAGCCTCACTTGTCTCTGCTGGAGCAGCTGGTGGTTTGAAACACTGATTTTGTGGTTAGAAGCCCAGTTCGTAACCTACGACACAACCACAGTTCTACAGGCTATACATCTTAATGGAGCAGATAGCCTACAGAGTGGCTCACTGGTTTGAACGGTCAACATTGCTGTGAACAGTCCACCATTTGCCGGGCAGCGCCACCAGAACTCCTTTCACAAGGAAGTATGGACACATGTATGGAGTCATATCAATAAAGTTCTATGTACTGTGTGTGCATAGTTTATTTTATTGCCTCTCTAATTTCCCAAAATGTAAGATTCTACAACTGTGCTAATACAGTAGTTACAAGGCACATGTAGTCATTTAAATTTAAATTAAATAGAATTACACGTCCCCTGTCATGCAGGCCACATTTCAAGTATTCAGTATCCAGATATGGTTACTGGTTACCACATTGGATGATATATATCATAAAATATCTCCATCATTGTGCAGTTTTATTTGAAAACACTAGAAAGTTTGTGACCTGGAAAAATAAACCACATGGTCACTCACTTCAACACTGCCTACTGAGCTTTATACATAGTTTAGCAATAATTACGTGCTGAATGTAATCAACTATGACATATTTCTGAATAACGTGTTTCATAAACGGCAAACATCCTTATGTCAAAGTAATTTAAAAATTGATACACCATGCTCATTTTTAATTTCCCTTAATTCTTCATTAGTTTATAAGAAAATAAGACTGTTAACACCTTGAAGTAAATTAATTCCTAAGTAAGGATCATAATAAGAAACAGCATGTTGACCAGCATTAACTAATTACTGGCAACAGTTCTATAACAGGACATCTCATTGTATGACTTAAAATTGAATGCTCATACTAAAGAGGTTTTGCCCCCAAATATTAGTGGTATGATATAATAATTAAACCAGAAATTTTAAAAGCTTAGATAAATTTAGTATCTAAAGTTCATTTAGTAATTTCTAATATTTATAAAAACAAAATGTCTCTTATCTCTTGCTTCCTTCTCTAAAAAAACCTCTATAAAAACCTATAATTTCTAAAGGCTTGAAGGTAAACAAGTAGCCATCTAGCTAGGAAGCAACAAAGCCCACATGGAAGAAGCACACCAGCCTGTATGAACACGAGGTGTCGAAGGGATCAGGCATCAGGCATCGAAGAACAAAAAATCATATCAGTGGGTGCCCACCTTCCCGATAAGATCGATGAAGACAAAGTGGGTGCATAAGCAAATGTGGTGAAGAAAGCTAATGGTGCACAGCTATCAAAAGATAGCATCTGGGGTCTTAAAAGCTTGAAGGTAAACAAGCAGCCATATAGCTCAGAAGCAACAAAGCCCACATGGAAGAAGCACACCAGCCTGTGTGATCACGAGGTACGAAAGGGATCAGGTATCAGGCATCAAAGAACAAAAAATCTTATCATTGTGAAGGAGAGGGAGTGCAGATTGGGGACCCAAAGCCCATCTGTCAGCACCTGGACATCCCCTTACAGAAGGGTTGCGGGGAGGAGACAAGCCACTCAGGGTTCAGTGTAGCAATGATGAAACATACAACTTTCCTCTAGTTCCTAAATGTTTCCTCCCCTCAACTATCATGATTCCAATTCTACATTACAAATCCGGCTAGACAGAGGATGTACACTGGTACAGAAAGGAACTGAAAACACAGGGAATCCAGGACAGATGAACCCTTCAGGACCAGTGGTGAGAGTGACGATACCAGGTGGGTGAGGGGAAGGTGGGATAGGAAGGGGGAGCCATTTATAAGGATGTACATATAACCTCCACCCTGGGGAATGGACAACAGAAAAGTAGGTGAAGGGAGACATCAGACAGTGTAAGATATGACAAAATAATAATTTATAAATTATCAAGGGTACATGAGGGTGAAGGGAGCTGGGAGGTAGGGTAAAAGCTGAGAAGCTGACACTAGGGCTCAAGTAGAAAGCAAATGTTTTAAGAATGATGAGCGCAACGAATGTACAAATGTGCCTGACATACAATGGATGGATGGATGGACTGTGATAAGAGTTGTACGAGCCCCCAATAAAATTGTTTTTAAAAATCTATAACTTCACTAAGAGATAAAATAATTTCACAAAAGGTGCAAGGTTTTTGCACCTGCTGACATAACTTCACCAACACTTCAACAATTTCCTTTGATTATTTTTTTAATAATGATCCTTACTTTAGATTCATTTATTTTGAAATGGTGGGCAACTGCAGACCTTAATGTACAGTACATATCAAGCAAGTTTAATTTTTTCTTATAATGTTAGGACTTTTCTTTATTCATGGATGCACTGTCAGCATTATGAGTGACTTCGTCTGAGTCTCGTGGTATTACTCAAGGCTTATAGTAATCTGTATACAGCAATATTTTACACTAAAAACATTGGAAAACACTAGGAGAGATCTTTTGTACTGCAATAAGCAATTTATGGGCGCAACAAACTACTCACCTGGAAATAATTACCATCAAACTGTGTTTTGTGTTTGTTGTTTTAATGAACTCTGCATATAAATAGACCCATACAGGGCAGATGTATATTATTCACGGTTGATTATATGCTCAAGGTTCATGTACATTCATACGCACACAAGTACTTAACAGTACAATGTATAAGTAGCAACTTCAAGATTTTTGTTCTCTCCAACTTTTTTTAATGAGGATTTCTTTTTGTCTTATTCTCTACTTTTATCCATTTTAAAATAATAGATAACAAAAAGGAACAGAAATAGAGGTTACAACTTCCTTTTTTAAAATGAGAAATCAGTTAAGATATGTTTTCAAAATATATTTCAAAACATAACTTACTTTTCTTTGAGTTCTGATACTTTTTGACCAACTGAATTAAGAAGCTCCTCTAGTTTCCTTTTTCTATCTTCAGTTTTCTTCAGATTTCTAAAGTATAAATCAATTTTATAATCATTATTTTATTATATTTAGATATCAACAAAAAGGCAGCAATAGAACCTTAATATTCAATATGCATGTTTCCTAAGAAAGAATTCACAAGGAAAACTATAATTCAGTACTTATAATACCTTTGATTATAACTTGATATGAAAACCAATGCTAATATTAAAACTATATCCTTGAACATAAATATACTACTTCTAGGAGTCTAGATTTCAAAAATACACTCATAAACATAGATTATGAAATAAGCAAGATAAACACATTCATTTATTTTTGTTCTTCTAAACGCCGCTAAATTGGAAACAAAGGAATAAAAGATACACACATGCACAAGAATGAAAAGGAATGCCAATAAAATTTTGAAATCTGATAACAAGCATTAAATATTTCTTTAAACCCAAAAAGCAAAACCATGGCTACTGAGTTAAATCTCACAGCAACCATGTAGAACAAAGCAGAACCACCCCCATTCGGCTCCAAGGGTGTGCATCTTCATGCACGCATGTCACCACATCCTTCTGCAGCAACTACAAAAGGCCAAAAGCTAAATATCCTCTGGGAGAAAAGCCAAAAAGATGCTACTCCTCTTCTGTTCACTGCCACCGGGTCTATTCTGACTCATAGCCACCCAAAGCAGGGCAGAACTGTCCCTGTGTTGCTTCCATGACTCCACTCCTTAGAGGAGTAGAAAGCCCCATCTTTCTCCAGTAGTGTGGCTGGTGGTTTCATACTGCTGACCTGGGAGATAGCAGCCTAGCTATTGACCGCTAAGCCACCCCGGCGTCTTCCAAAAAGAATTAGGTACCCCAATGTTCAGGCCATGTGGATACCAGGGACATACCTTTAAAAGAAAGATCTAAATACAGAGAATTATTTAATAGTTAAGAATATCAACAGTTTGACCTCAGATAACCACTTATCACAGTCCAAAACATTGGAAGTTGGGCTTATAACACAAATCTATCCCTAACCACCTCTACCTATACTTCAGGAGAACATACACAGGAACAGAGAAAATGACTGATCCCCACTCTACCTGTCCCACCAAAAAAAACCCTACAGACACTGATATGAGGATTCGCCATCCCATCATCAGTCCATGCCCAATGCCTGCAGGGAAGCTCTGCAGTCAAGGGCTTGCCCGGGCCACACGCTTAGAGCTTCCAGTCAGATTTCCATTACACAATTGTGTGTCTTCACTTACAGTTCTAGTCCTGCCTGCTCAGTTTCCAAAGGCTGAATCCGTTCCAAGACATGGGAATACTGGACATTGGCTTTAACCCAGGCAGCCAAAGGAGCTGCTGCAACACTGGCACGCTTAGCATTCTGAAAAGCCCATGAGAAGTTATTCAGCATCCTAAATTAATTTCAAATAAACATCAAGTGAATCTCAACACATGTTAATTAAGCACTGGTTTAATATCTTATACCAAATATTAAAGTTTTAGGTTTACAGCTAAAATAAAAATACCGTGAACTGCTGTTTCCATTAAGAAAAATATACCTAAACTCTACTTGTTGATTTTAAATGAATACCTTTGGACCACATACAACTTTTAGTATAATGACATTTTATTAACATAAGTAATTACTCTATTAGTTATGTTTATGATAAATAGCTATGTCATCAACAACGTTTAGGCATCGAATATTTCTCATCTACAGATACAGACACACATTTAATAGATAAAAGCAATTTTAAAAATCAGTGCTACGCTGGAGACTCAGTGTTGGGACTGGCCCAGACTGACCCTGAGAC